CTGGCAATTGCTTGCTGGGCAGGTTGGCACATGCTGGAAAGGAGCTCCATTTCTTTATGGAGCAATGGCAAGGTGGAGGGCCAAGAAGGGGTAGAGGACCTGGGGACTGCAGCCCCTTGGCTGGAGTGGTGACTCAGCTGCACCTGGTTCTTCTACCTTTAGTTCTCCTTGATCGAACCCCAACTGCCCTTGGGGGGAAAAGGAAACCTGCAGTGTGGGTTGTAGTGTCAGACAAGAGTGAGTCTACTGAAAGTTAATTCAGAACTACAAACAGAAAACGACCCGCCTAATGGGGTCATTGTTTTGTTGGGGTTCAATCAACTACCAACATTTCCTTGGGGTAGTCCACTAGCTGAGCATTGTCTTGGGTGCTTGGTAATATGGCAGTGAATCCCATTCCTGCCTTCCCATCCCTGAGCCTCAGTTAAGGCCCACAGCAGCATCTCTGTGGCACCTGATAAGGCTCGTGCTCTATATCTGGCTTTTGAGGGCTGAAGAACAAATAATTTCCAAAATCTCATAATCCCTAAGCCATGCTTTCGACCCCGCCATGCAATGTGGCTGTTCTCTGGCTGCCTGCCTGCTTTCGGCCAACTTGGCTTGGCCTTAAGAGTGAAACAAAGGTGCATCTCCTGGGAGGGACGGCCGCAGGGCAGTGGAGCGAGGAGAATCAGTGTTCATTATAACACGGGGCAAGACGGCTGGATGTTGGCTAGTCACGTCACCCCTTGCTGGGATCTTCTGCTTGGTTTCCACAGTCTTTGGTTCCCCTGTGGCAGAAGCACATTGTCCCAAAAGCCCATGTTCTCTCAGGGCCCACAGGTGTGCCCCACCCCTGCCACAAGTGCACACAAACCTGAGAGGATGAGGCTCTGGATTTAGTGGTTCTAGATTCTTTCTCTCTGCAGGGAAAGGGCTGGTGGATGCCAGGTGCCGGGCCGGAGAGGGCACTGCTGAACCTGGAGGTAATGAGAGCAGGTCAGGGGGACCCCTGACTTCAGGCTGGCCCTGGCCTCCACTTTCTCTGCTTCTCTCCTTTGATAGAACCTTGAGGTAAGATAGCTGGTTGGGCCTGGAAGTCAGAGACTGGGTTTGACTCCTAACTTTGCAGCCTCACAGTGTGATTTCAGGCTGTCCATCTCCTAGAGCCTCAGTTTCCTCATCTGTAAAATGGGAGCCTAGCATCCATTTTAGTTTGTGTAAGGGTTCAATTGCAACATGTGCTTTAAGTGCTTAATCAGGAAAATAGAATGACCTCCCCAGCCACACCCCCCCCACTGAACTTGTGTCCAAGGGGTTCTCTGTCTTCGAAGTTCACGTCTTTGGCTTTTCACCAACTCACCCCAGTTCTGATTTCTTCCTGCCTGCCTCTTGAGCACAGAGCCAACACTTGCTGTAATGTGGCTGCCTTGTCATATCTGTGCCAGGAGGACTCCTCAGCGAGATTCTGCCTGGCTGTTTGGGCTTCTCCATTTCAGGCCCTTGGGGGTAAATGTCCAAATGTCCTGCCTTTGGAGTATCCTCTTCAAGGTTTCACACTGGGGGCTCCCTCTAGACTAGTATCATGGCAGCTGGTAAAGGTGCTATCACCCCAGAGGTCATTTGCCAACCTTTGGAACAACTTCAAGGCCAGGTCCTTGGGGGTTGTTGCTGTCACCCACAAGACAAGACTCAATACAATACACACTTTAAAAAAATGAATGTTACTTTTTATCCATGGTGTCCCCAGGGTCATGGCCACACAGCTCCTATAAGAGGTGACCCAGGCTCCAGCACCCTCAATTGCTTCACCCCTCCATTATCACAACTTTTCACACATGGGCCCTGGAACATGGGTCAGGCCTTGCCCGAGCAGTGGTCTTAATAACACTGGGTGGCACGGTCCCTGTAAGCCAGCTCTGTGCGTGGGACCTAATGTAGTTTCACTGTAACTTAATCCAACTTTCGTCTTTCTGCCCATGTGCATCTAAGACAAGTTCGATGAGGCAGCTAAACATGTCAGAACTACCTTTCAGTGAAAGACTAACTCCGTTATTTTGGGTATTAAAGGCCATCTATGTGTCTCTATAACTTGATTTTAGACAGCTCAACATGTGTTAGTGGTCTCCTTTTTTAGAAAAAAACCTTACATGGTGGGAAAGGTACTCTCAGATTTAAATGCATCTAAATCACCACAGGATCTTGTTAACACACAGATTCTCCAATGCTAACGAGCCCTTGACTGGTGCTGATGTGCTGGTGGTTGACCCACATGTCGGGCAGCAGGATGGTAGCAGGTAGTGCTGCACAGGGGAGCATCAGCCTTGCCAGGTGGGCTTTGGGTGTAACCACCCCTGAGCTTGCAGACTGCCTGGACTATAGATGCAGAAATTCTGCCCAGCAGGGCATGCTGGGAAATTCCCTTTTGTTTAAATTGGTCTTAGCAGCATGTGACTCCAGATTTAGTCTTGAGGCGTCCCAGCTTCTTGGGCCATCAGAACTCTCCCACCAGCTGTGACCTGGCTACCGCTGTCCTTAACCAATGGCTTGAGCTCTAGGGAGGTGAGCCTGGGATGCTCTCCCACAATGCCTTTCTTCAAAGGACTTCTATCACTGGACGTGTCGATCAACAGGTGACAAACCACCAGATGAAAATTTACTTTGTTCTCCAGCCTGCTTGCAGACTGCAAGAGGGAAGAGGAAGAGGGGGGCAGGAAGGCTTCGAGGTCCAATGAGTTAAGGCAGCCAGGGGCAGCAGAGGGAGAGTCTGGTCGAGCTGTACTGAACCGGAAATGTCGAGAGAGAGAGAGATAAAGAATTCAGCAGCAGAAGTAATAAACAGTTTTATTTGCTGTTGGGAGGATAAAGGAGGCAGGAAGGAGTATGATGGGTGAGGGGAAGGGCCTCTAACGTGCCGTTCCCACACCAGCAGGATAGGACCTGTGCTAGGGTGATTTGTGAGAGCCAGGAACTACCCCAAAATGAGATTACGGGGTGAGGAGGCCAGAACCATGGTAGTTGACTTTTTCATCAGGAGAAAGAAAAAGAAAAGTCAAGGAAAATGAACAGCTTTGCATTTGGTATGGGTTTTTTGTTTTAATACAGGTTTGATGATGAGGAAAAACAGCAATTTCTAAATGTCACTGGGCTGGCCTGAGCTCAGGCCCCAGGGCCCTTGGGAACAGACCCTGCCAGGCAGGGTCCACTGCTCCGAGACAGGGTGGCAGTCCCTGCCTGTGCTCCAGTTTCTTACCTGATCTAAGAATCTGAGCAGAGAGAGGAAATCCAGGTTCTGCAGGCTGGCAAGGTCTGAGGACGCCAAGTAAGGCAGAACAGTTAGCGTTCCGAGGAGCACACGTCAGGGCAGGCCTTCCCCACGCTGTCAGAGTGCAGAGCGACATAAGCTTGAGGGTGATGCTGAAAGGGGGGCTGCATAGGGTCCAGCTTGCCCCCTGTGGTGCAGGGTCGAAGGGCAGAACTCGAGGTCTTCTAGAACAGTGTGGCCTCCTGTCCACCCAGCCTCGGGCTGCCTCCTTGCCTCCCCACCAAATCCCCAAAATGGGAGATGTCTGAAACACCCATCACAGGGGCTGCCCTGGCAGAGAGCTCTCTCCCTCGCCCTCCTTTGCCTGCAGAAACCTCATTATATGGATAGGCTCTTGGCAAATTCCTATCCTTAGCTTCCCTGCCAGCTAAGTCAAAAACCCTCAAATGCCCCATCCAACAAATCCATAGATCAGAGGTCTATGGATTTTTAAAAAAAAAAACAAAAACACTTAGATTAAGTCCATTTATGAATACTGAATCCCTCCACCCCAAATTTAAAAATATTAGCTTGACTCTAAGGCACAGGAGGCATGCAGACTGCTCTCTCCTGAGGCTGGCAGCCCATGTCACTCATCGGACACCCCCGAGCCTGGTAGAAGACATGGGCAGATGGGTGGTGGGGTGCTCGGCAGGCGGCTTCTAAATGCCAGTGACGCTGCTTCTTAGAGAGGTGTTCCACCCGCCACGCACCTGCAAGGCACCCCAGGGGGCCAAGCAGGTTGAGACTGAGGGTAGCTCATCACAGAGCTGCATCTGATAGGCCAAGAGAGACAGGTCACAGGTGTTCTCTAATTCAGGCATGTGAGACACTTTGAATATGCCTTTCTTCCTAGTTGGCCTCGGAAAGAATAAGTGTCCCTTAAAAATTAGTTGCTCGAGGCCCTCCCTGGTGGGCAGCGGGTTAAAGCACAGCACTAAGAAGCTAAAGCCACTTCAGCAAGAGTTCGGAGTTTGATCCTGGCCCCAGGAGGTGTCCACGTGGCACGGCAGACCGCTCCTGACCCACCCGCTGCTCCCCTCAGCAGTGTACTTCGTGGATCTGCCTGTTCTGCTCCCCACTCTGTCTCTGGTGAAGCCTCTCACCGCCCCTGCACCTCTGGTCTGTAACCCAGTTCTCTATGCATAAATCTTTTTGTTAAAAAAATTAGTTGCTTGACACTATAAAGGTAGCCTCAGCCACTTCAACACAAACTGATCCCGGGGCAGGGAACTGACCCACATGACACATCAGATCTCTCCTGACCCGCCCGCTGCTCCCCTCAGCAGTGTACTTCATAAATCTGCCTGTCCTGCTCCCCACTGTCTCTGGTGAATCCTCTCACTGCCCCTATACCTCTGGCCTGCACCCCAGTTCTGTATGCATAAGTAAATAAATCTTTAAAAGTAAAAGTGGGAAATAAAAAAAAAATTAGTTGCTTGAACCAGAGATCACATCTATCCTACTCCCCAACAAAACTGCTGTCTCAAAACTGAATCCAGGTTAGAAAATGTGTTAACAAAATAGAGCTATGACTGGAGAAAGTGATGATATCTGTGTTCTCTCCAAGGCCTCCCTGAACTTTGCTATCAGTTCTGGGTGTGCATGGCATCTGAGTGGTGGACAGCCACAGACAAAGTAGCAATGCAGGGCAAGGGGTGATTGGTGAATGTGTCCACCACATACACATATATATAGAAACAATAAAATATTTTAATTCTTTTTTTACATTGCCACAGGTTTCTTCAGTCAGGTGAACCCTGACTGAAGCGCGCTTCTCTGTTGTGAGTGTGAAGGGCTGTGCCTCAGATCAGCTCCTCCCAGCTAGTAAGTACAAGTCACAACTAAAATTCTGCACTAGTAGCCCTGGGTACGTGCTGATGGTGAGCTGCGCCTCCATCCACTCAACTTCAGCTCAGGATGCAGTTTGTCCCAGCTGTGAAAAGCCTCAAAATACCAATCATGAGCCTTCCCCTTATTCAGGACTTTAATAAAATGCTTTATATACATATATATATGTATATGTATATATATATATATATACTTATATAGAGAGAGATTGCACAATACATGTGCTTATGATGCACTCTAACATAGAGCACAGGAATACACGCCATGGAACGCACCCTACCCATCTCCACAGTAGCCGAAGTGCAAAGGTTAAACACCCGCACTTGGCGTGACATCAGAAGGTGCAGGCCACCCACCCACCACACTGAAGACTCATCTTTGTCCTCTCGGTGGTAGGAGCAGCGGCAGAAACAGTCAATTTCTAGGGTGAAGGATGCCAGGCCTTCTGTTGCTGAGAGCGTGATTTCTGTTCAGAAACTGTCTTGAAGTGATGGCCAAAGGTCAGCCTGGCTCATGGCTCTAGGCTGAGGTCTGCTGCTTGAGGGTGGACTGGCTCTGGGGGTTTAGGGCTATTGCAGGGTCTCAGACACACACCCCAAGGGAAAGTGCACTTCCAACAGCTGGTAAAAAAACAGATTGGCACTTGCTCTTAACAGAGCACGTTTCATTGAAAATCCTCCCAACTTCTGCAAATCGTCTTTCCTGCTCTGCTCCAGCCCTTTACACTCCTGAGTGTCAAGAGTCCTGGAGAGAAGGTCCTGGGACATGCTTGCAAGGTTGGTGTGTGGCTGAAGGCCAGTGGGCGGCTGAGGGCTCTTGTCAGTGGGGAGCCGAAAAGGCCCCACTGTCCTCTGCATGTGTCTCCCCTCCCCTTGCTGAGTTGTAAGCAGCGTGAAGTTCAGTTCAGCTGGTGAGACCAAGGACATCCTGAAAAGATTCTGGTACTGCCTCTACATGAAAATATGTTCCAAGGGAAAAGTCTGGTGTGTTGAGCTCTATTTTTGCAGTTCCAGCAGTGAGCACTGCTCTGCTCACTCAGGAAGCGGTCCCTGGCCTCCGAGGGGCCTGTGCTAGGAGCTCTGCACCAGCCGTCTGTAGTGGGGCATGACTTCGTGTTCTGGCAGATGAAGGGCAAATTCCAAGGCCACTAAAACTGGGAATTCAAAGGCAATCAGTTCTCGTCTATTCAAGCGAAACTTCTCTTCCAGTTTCTGCAACAAAATTAGAGAAAGTCCTATGTTTAGCTTTGAAATATAAATCCTAAGGGGGAACCCACCCATAAGTGGGTTCACCATGTAACTCCCAAGCCATCAATGAATGTTTACAGAGAAATCCACTGCGGACAGGACTGTGGAGGATGAGAAAGGCATTCCACACTTAGTCCTGGTAGACCCAGTCTACATAGGGCTCCACGTACAACTCAGCCTTCACCTAATCCTCAATAATCTTACCAGGAGCACGTTACGTTTATCTTTATGTGACAGATGAGCAGGCGGGTTCAAGAGGTTAAGTTATTTATCCACGATGGCATGGGCAGGAAATCGTAATGCTGAGATGACACTGAGATTCGAACTCAACTGAACAAAAACTACCTGTTACAACTAGTTATTTGGGCTTAGAAACTTAAAATATAACAAGTCATCTACAACAATACAAGCCATGTGTTAAGTTCAGGATGGGAGGAGTTGATTATACATACTTTGGACTTTTCATTTTAGCATGAGGACTTGCGTCAGATTCAGATAGCCACACAACCTGTGTGCAGGTAAGGCACAGCATTAGGCTGCACATCCAGGGGGTGCCCTCTTGATCCCCCAAAGTGGGGGGGGGCTGCTGGAAGTAGAGAACAATCATGGTGAAGTGGGGTAGAGAAGGCCTCACTTTTTTTTTTTTTGAGGACATATTCTGCTTTGGCTTAAACTCAGCTTTTGTTCTTAATTTGAAAAAAAAAAAAAAAGCCAATAGATCAATTAGTGACTGTTTTCAGATTATACCTGGGAGTAGATCTTGCATTAGGTAAACTGTTATTGCCACTATATTCTGCATTAATATTACCAGCATTTGCTGGATGGCATATTATTCAACTATGATTAAGTGTGTATTTCACTTCTAATTTTTATTAATATTTGTTACTTCCAGAGAGTTATTAGTTCAGCAAGTATCTATGACAATCTAATTCTCACTTCAAATTTCGTGTCCAAAGATTATGTCCAAGTTTCTAAAAGTATTTACAAGTGAACTGGTTTTGTTAAAATCAGTCCAGCATTTAATGTAAAGAATACTTTTTCTTCCAATGGATGAATAAACACAATGTGTTATATACATCCAGTGCAACATTATCCTCACACATGGTAGCTTGATGAATCTTGAAGATGTTAGGCTAAAAGAATTGAAGCAGACACACACAGGCTGCATAACCCCACGAGACAGGCAGTAGGATGATGGTGGCCAAGTTGGGGGAGACGGGACGAAAGTCACTGTTTCATGGTGATACTTGCAAAACAGTATGAGTGCACTTCATACCAAATGAGCCGTGCACTGCAAAATATTAAAATGGTAGATTAAAAGGAAAAAAGAGAATACTTTGTTACGTGGGGAGAATTTACATTAGCTCCTTTTCTGGTTTTCCTCCTTTGCTACTAAAGATAGCTGTACAGATAAACATGTGGGGCATTGTATTGGCCATGTTTTTATTTTCTGTATTCTGGCATTGACATCTTGGGGCCTTGCTGGCCTTGGAGGGAGTGCCCCCCTAGAGTTAGTCAATCCCAAGAGAGGGCCACTTGCCTGCGTGTGCATGGACTGCCTGTGACATGCAAATCAGCCAACCCAGAGCCCGCACCCAACCACCCTCTGACTCAGTTCTCTGGATCCTAAGCCACTAGCTCTTGTCACCCCAGGTCAGACAGCAGACACACAGGGAAAGTGTTCACATGCCCTGAAGTGTGCTAGGTCATACCAACTAGCCAATTCTAAGCCTGCTTGCCATCCTGCTTTGTTTATTCCTTCCCGTAGATACAAGGAAGGCTCCTGACCAGAGTTCCTCTCCCTTTGCCTCCTGACCAGTCCTGGCACTTCCCCACATGGCTCCACATGGTGTGGTGTGCCCCCTAGTTATGGACTGAAAGACTGTACCCCTACATAATCCCCTTGCTGGCATCCTACCCTCCAGGGCAGTGGTATTGGGAGGTGAGGCCTTCTAGAAGATGATTAGATTTACATGTGGTCACAAGGTTGGGTACTCAAGATGGCATAAATGCCCGTGTAAGAGACTTCGGAGCTCACTCACTGTGTTTTCCCTTCATGTGAGGACATGGTGAGAAAGCAGCCATTTGCAACCCAGCAAGCCCTCAATGGGAACCCAGCAGCTGACACCTTGACCTGGCCTTCCAAGCCTCCAGAACGGACAAATCAATGTCTGCTGTGTAAACTACCCAGTCTGATATTTTGTTGACAGTCTGAGCTAAGAAACCCTCCTCTTGGGAACAATGAAAATGAAACAATTTTTTCAATGGTAACTGACTGCTGATCTTCTGGCTTTACTGTACTTGAAATTTTTGATGAACACACTATTTTAAAATAGCTATTCACAAAGGAAATCACTGTTTCCTTATTTTATGAAGTTCTCCTTTAAAAGAAAGGCGATACCTACCACTCAGCCAAACCCACACTCTTCTCCAAAGAGGGGAAGCAAAACTGACGGGAGCCAAGGTCTACTGAGCCAGTCTGATGGGTACTTTGAGAGTCATACCACACACAAGACCCCTTGCCATTACAGTGCCTTCTGTGACTGTGAGACTAATTTTACTCTTTGAGGTAGCAATGGGTTTTTATGGCCAGAACCAAAGGGCACCTTCCCTCTGCTCTAACAGTCTAAGATGTGTGTGTGACCTCTACCACAGAAGGCTGACTCAGCCCTGCTTTCTTACCAGCTCAAGACCAAAGTTCTCCCAGGCTGAGGGTCACCGACCAGGCTCTTCAGAGAGACCAGTGGCCCCTGGACTGGAGTGTGCTCCCCAAACCATAGACTTGGGCCACTTACATCAATTAAATGCTTGACTTCATGTTTTTTGAGGTCACTTCCAATTTTGGCTGCTAACAACACACACGCTCCAGCACAGAGCTTCCGGTTCTGTTTGTTTAGCTTTCCCTTGAGAGCAAGTTTCTCAAAGTAGACAAAGGCCATGGCCACTGTCGGTTCCTCAAAGCCACAGTCTTCTTGAGCAAGCTTCCGCATTTCTCGCTTCAGGCTAGAGCACGAAAGGAAGGAGGGGACAGAGTCTCATTAGAACTTAGGACTTTTGGGGGGGACCCCAAAGGAAAAAACTATTTTGTCCTAAAGGTATTTTCTTTTCCTCATAACCAGAAGGGTGACAGGGAATGGGATTAATCCCTGTGGGTGAGAAAGTAACATTAAATGTGGGAAGCAGACTCTTCTCTGAAGTTGTATAGACCATGTCAGTGGGCATATAAGGACCTTCATTGAGAAAGCAGGGATGCCTGGAGGGGCTCTCTGGAAACCAGCAGCAGAGCTGATCAAAGTTCAAGAGGGAAACCGGTAATTTCAGAGAGATAACTATAGGGGAAAGTTAGGTACCTGGTGTCAGCTCTGCTGAATACCAGTTATGGTCACTCACTAGGGCAGATAAGGGGTCAGGCTAAGAAAAATTATTCAGCAATGGACAAAGTAAGACTATTTCATGTTTTTCATCTTTGGCCTGGACTCTGCCAGAATGAAATCAGTGGGAGGTACATACATATAAAAGCTGGCCCGTTTCAATGTCATGTAAACAAGTAGCCTCTATAACCACACACACACCATGCACGCACGCACGCACGCACGCATACATGCTGACATCTGGCTGACCGGATGCCACAGGCCAACTTTCCTCTGGCCCTGTCGGACCAGTCCTCTTGGCTATTGCGCTGGCAGATGGGTCTGTGATGGGTCATCACAAAAATCAATCCATTAGCCAAAAGGGAAATACAGGCCTGTTTTGTTTGGCTGCTTTGCTAAGGGCACAGATAGTGCTGGGCTGTCAGGTTCAGGCAGAAGTGTCAAGTGTTATCTCAAGTCCTGTGATTGGGGAGCAAGTACAAGTGGGCAATCATCTCCACATACCTCCTTATTTTGCTGAGTGTTAACTTAATGTGAGGAAACTTCTCCTTGAAGGTCTCATTCATGTCCTTCTTAAGATCCGAGGGCTTCACGTAGTCAATGACTGTGGTCTGTAACAAATCAGGTGGCATGGTCACTCCTTAAAATCAGGCGCATGGGCAATAATAATGCACAGGTTATGGCCAACTTAGACTTCCACCACCACCAAATGATGGGAAATACTGGTCAGGGCCACAACAAGAACTGGCTGCACCCAGGAGCCTGAACAGGGCTGTGGTCTCTCTACAGGAGACCAAGTTTGTTCTCTCAGATCACAGTGACATTGGGAAACCCAGCTCTAAGACCACAGGGAGAAAATGCTTGGTGGGCAGGGCGTGCCTTCCAGTGCATGCATTTCCCATCATGCAGTGTTTCTGCATGTGATTTGAACTGCACAGATCTGGGTTCAATACACATCTGGCTGTGGGAAACTTATTTAACAACCCTCTTTCATTTCCACTTCTGCAAAATGAAAACAGTGTCTATTTTACAGGCTACTTTCAGACTATCCAGAAGTGCTCTGTGTAGCTTGGCATATAGCAAGTGTTGGCATACAGCAAGTGTTCAATAAATGTTAGATGCTTTTTAAGATTTATTTTTTAAGTGTAAAGTATATGTAACCATTAAGTCATTTTAAAGCATAAGTTCAATGGCATTAAGTGCATGAACACTGTTGAACAACCATCACCACCCACCATCTCCAGAACTTTCATCTTCTGACACAACTGAATGCCTGCCCCCACTGAATGCTAATTCTGCATCCCCTCTCCCCCCAGTCTCTGGCAACCACCATTTTACTTATGTCTCCCTGAATGTGACTACTTGAACTGCCTCTACGAAGTGGAATCAGACAGTGTTTGTCCTTTTGTGTCTGTGTTTGTGTCTCCCTCAGCACTATGTGCTCAAAGTTCATCCATGCCACAAGTGTCAGGATTCCTTTTTTTTTTTTAAAGCTAATGATATTCTACTGTATATACAGTCCTTGAATAACAGAGATAAAGGGCACTAATCTTCCAGAGTGACAAATATATGTATAACTTTTCACTCTCCTCCAAACTTAATTTCTAATACACTGCTGTTGACTGGAAGCCTTCCTGATAACAAAGTCTCTTCATATTTTGCATGTAATATTTATATCTATTATATGCTATATTCCTAAAGTAATCTATAAAAAATAAAATGCTATTAGCAAAAAACAAAAAGCAAGGAAAATATAGTTACATACATGCTATATTTTATTGATGCTGTAAAGTTATGCTGCTTGTTTGCAAGAAAATTCACGTACACGTGACTCATGCAGAGCAGGTCTGTGTTGTTCAAGGGGCAGCGGAATGTAACGCTAGCTCTATTAATAGTCCCTGAACCTTAAGTTTCCCATTTCCCCTGTTCCTGTTTTCTGGTTCTGTCCACCCTTAAAGGTTGGCTCCTTGGAGCCTTTCTTTTTTTCCCTTTTATTATTGTCTTCAAATTAAATTAATTAATTTATTTAACATCAGTTTTGATTTTGTGCATTTTTTCATCTCAATTGTAATCCCTGTGGATGTGCCACCACCACAGTTCCGTGCGCTCTTCCCACCCCAGCTACCCCAGTTTGAACCTGTCCCCCTCTCTACCCGCAGTGGATGTCTCTGGTTTATAATTGTTCATTGTTGTTTTTATTTTATTATAATTGCTGTTTTTTTTCTCCTGATCCTTTATGCTCCTGCTATAAGTGAAACCATCCGGTATTTTTCTTTTTCTTTCTGGCTTATTTTACTAAGCACGATCCCTTCCTTGGAGCCTTCCCGAGTGCTCTGGTGTTCCTACTCCTTGGTGCCTCGCCCTCTGAGCCCTGATGGAAAGTGGATCCTGGCTCGTTAGCTTCACTCCTTCCACTCTGGGCTACGCTTTCTAAGAGCGAAGACAACTTGTGAGGCCTCTTCTGGCAGGCTTTGGGCAACAACCTTCACCAGGCAAAGCCAAAAAAAGAACTATAGACTCAACAGCATAAAGGACTCAATAGAGTCACTAATGGCCAAGCCGCAGCAGGGTGCACCCCTCCCCCAGGCAGTCCTCCAGGATGGGTTTGTTTCCCTTCTTACATTAAAACTGCTCACTTTTATCTCAAGTAAGTTTTTGGGTCAAACAGGATGTAAGACTTTTCATTTAGGAAACAGACACAGAATGGAGGACCACATCAGACACATTTACCTCAAGCTGGGCCCACCAGTCAATTCTGCTTCTGACTTCCCAGCACCCCCTTTCCTTCTTTGCACCTCTCCCCACTCCCCGAATGCCCACAGCAGGCTCCTTTTAGTGCTGTCTGCAGTCATGCCTTGGCAGTGATGCAGGCAGGCCCAAGCACAAGACATGGCCTTTGTTGGTAGCAGAAGCCCGGTGAGCAAGGACATCATGGCAGGAGGTGGGTGTCTGGCTCTGTCCCCATAGCAACAGCAGCTCTGCTTTCTTCTGTCTTTTATGTAGACACATGTAACACTTCTTGAAAGAAGATTCCCACTGAAGAAAATTTGCAAGTGCATTGGATCCATCTCACTGCACTGGTGAGGACGCAGGATCAGAGTGAAGAGAAGCTTGTTTTGGAACTCTGCAGGCTGAGGCAGGGTCAGCACTGGAACCTGGTCTCTTGGGTTCACACATGCTTCTTTAATCAGACTAAAACAAGCAGTGGAAAGTAGCTGGAAATGTCAGCAGGTGGAATGTTCTAGGGAAGAGTCGGCAATTTCTACCTCAGAAAGTTGAGCAACTCTGGAGAATGTGGTTTCACCTCCTGAGCCTCACCTTCCTCTTGGACCACTTCACAGATTTGTCTTGAAGAACAGACAGAACAGAATGTACCTAAAAGGCACCGGAGAATTTTATTAAGGGCACAAAAGGGAAGGGCCGTCAGCGAGCTGGGCTCTGCTGTAGTAGCAAAGTCACAGCTTGTGGGTGGGCCCTGGTGCCTGCCTGCGCTGTGAACTTGCCCAGGTGATCTTTATGCAAATCAGATTCTCTTTTCCGGCTAACATCCTTCCACAGTTAGGCTTTTAATGCCATTCTGCAGGAGCTTCTTCCCTGAGAGAGACAGTTCTCCCAGTAAGAAACATTTATCTGCCACTATGATTTCAACAGCCACTCTCCATGCGTACAACCTGTGCACTTCCTGACTCCTCTGCAGCTATGATTTCAAACACAGCCCAGCTGTCCCTATCAGAGGCACTGGCTCGAGAAGCAGAATTGACAGAGGCTGCATGTCTGCTGATTCTGCAACCAGGAGTTGTGGCAGGAGTCCTCGCGTCCATTTTGTGGTGTAGACCACAGCAGGGCAGCATGGGCCTGGAGCCAGCATCTGTGGCTGCCTCCTGACTGAGGAGGTGGAGCTACTGGCTGACCCAGGCTCCCCATCAGCAACAGGACCCTGGCAACAGATGAGGCCAGGCTACAATCCTTAGCAGCCTGGTTTTGGGATTATTCCTGAAATCCCAATTTAGGCTGTTTCATTAGCCTCCCCAAGAATTCTTGAAGCTACTTACGGCTCTGACAGAAACTGCACCACCATCACCAGTTCCTAGAGAGCTGAGTCTCACTCAGGGCCCTAACACATCACATATCATCAGTCCTGCCTTCGGCCCATCCCGTGAGCACCCGCGAACAGCTCAGCCTGCAGTCTTGCTACAGGTGGCACAAGGAGGGAGGGCTCAGACCTACAGCGGGTCTGGCTTGCAGCCGATGGTGGATAGGGAGTTGGGGCAGCTGTTCTAGACAGCAGGATGAGTGGACATGTGTATTTGCTTCCAGGCTGGAAGCTGGACAAGTGGGTAGAGAGCGGGCTGGTGAGTGGATTCTGTGCAACTCTGGTCCAGTGTCTGGCCCCCGGGGAGGGTGGCATATGGCAGCTGCAAGGATGCCAAATCTTCAAATTCAAATTGTAGGTGACAGAATTCTTTCAAATCCCAGCTGAGCTCACTGGAGCAAAAGCGGTGGTGTTCTGTGACCCTTGCTGTGTCTTGGGATGGCTCCCTGTTCTGCGTAGGAAGCTGCTGGTCCTCCACCTGTTCATCTACTTGGCTGTCATCTGGCTACTTCCTGAGTCTTTTCTAAGCTAGTTATAGTCCATTTTGAGGCAGGGTCTCTGTAAACCTTCATCTTTTCCTGTCAATGCTCCCCATTTCCTGATCTCCAATTGGCCAGCAGTCCAGACTCCTCATCCTCCAAGAGGGTTCGGGAAAGAGAAAGTACAGGTGAGCGCGGGTCAGGTGGGCCCGGCGTCCCCAGAGGTGGCTATATCCAAGGAAAAGAAGCTGTGAGCACTGGATGCTGGAGGCTTGCTGCTGCCCTCTATGAGGGAGGTTCCCCAAAAGACAGTCATCCTAGTTTGTTTGCTAACTTCTGTCTCAGGGAGTGAAGTATGTTTGCCTCTGTGGCAATGAAATGCCTCCAAGGCTCAAACAGTCAGGAGGACAGTGATAAATCCCGACATCAGACTAAGAGCCTTAGGCTGACAGAGAAGGTGAAAGTGGTTCTATCAGTTTCTGGTTACTGCTGTAACAAAGTACCATCCACAGCAGGGCTCCCACAACATGGGTTGCCTCATAGTTCTTGGGCTTGAAGTTGGGGAGTCAGGTGCCAGCAAGGCCAAGTTCCCTCTGAAACTCTGGACGGAATCCTTCTTTGCTTTCTCTAGCTGCTGGTAGATGCATGGTTCCACCGACAAGCACTCTACACATGGTGTTAGCCGAAAAAAAGAATCTCCATCGCCTGCATTACAGTGATGGCCTCAGGGCATGAGACCTGCAGGGCTGTTCTGGGTGCTACGGGGGCTCCTCATGTGCATGGGGCATAGGATCAAGGCAGCTGAATAGGTGGCCCCCCAAAGCAACCATTTGATCCCAGACCCTGGCTCAGACAGGGCCCTGCAAAAAGCTACACAGGCCCACTGTTCCCCTCTAGCCACACACAGGTGGGATTCCAGGAATAGGATGAATTAGCCTGAGCCCAGGGCCACCCTATCAGGCACATTCAAGGTTAACGATCCTTACTCTCTTCATCTTGTTCCTTCTGAGAAACACCCCAGCATACAACTCCTCTGCAG